GCCTATTAAGTTTAAAGGAGCAGTGTTCGCTTAGAAAAATTGACGAACTTTTCAAAATAAATTTCAAAATTTAATTTAAAAATGATGCCCCCATACGCCATATAAAGAACCAAGCAATAGATTTCGCTTCTAGTAATGTAGCAGTTTGTTTTAAACAGTTTGGAGCCATATCTAAATCGGATTAAATGCCGCCTACGCGTTAATAGCCCCAAATATATACCGCATCAATCGTCCAGAAATCGGCCATATCGGCAATCTTGAAACCCTCATAACTTTACAAAAAACTGCAAAACTGCGAAAACTCTTTCAGCAACAGTTAACTCCGCATTAGTAAAACATGAAACACTGTTGGACATTCAAGATATTTTTGGCTCTTAAACTCTCCTTTTGGCAAGTCTTCTTCCATGTGTCGTATTTTAAGTAATAATGTTGATGCAATTTTAGACTTCGATATGACTATGGGTTTATTTTTGATTTTGCCGCATGTTTTTGTACATTTAAACGTCATGTTGGGAAGTTTTGTAACACCGCATCTTAAGTCTCAGAACTAAACTTTAGGTTTTTCACTCTCGCGTATTTTTGGTGACAAGCCATTATCCGGAAAAACTACAGCAAATTATAAAACTGAGGGTGTTTTCTCGCAATTGTGCTTTCTCACATTTTTCTCTTAAATTAATTTTTTTGCCTGATAATCGTTTTTTATCGTTTTTCTCGAAATTTCATTTTATTCTCGTGATACCAGCCGGCTACAGCAATGAAATTATTGTTTCTGGAAGCTCGGTGCTTTTAGTCAAGATGGCAAAATGGAAGTGTGTACTCCAATGGATCCAGGTTGTGAGAATTTAGGTTCAAACAAAATTTACGACAAAAAATTGTTTAGTTTTTGTGTGACATTTAAAATTTGGCTCTTATGACCGGTAAAATAAGCATAAAAAGATAAAAAATGAAGATTAAATGCTTTTCCAAAAATTGAAATTGATTTTTTTTTTTGCAAAAATTAACAGGATTCTCAAATTTCAATGGACTGTGACTAGCCGATCTAATTAACATTTGTCAAATAGGTTCCTGCTCCTTCTTTGTTGAACCAAGCAACTTACACTTAATTTTATTTTTTTTCGTCTCTACGGGTCTATTGACAACACTGGTTTTGAAAAAACAGTTTGAATTGAGAGCATTACTAATTTGTCTAAAGAAAGCTAGTGCTCTATACGACATAAGAACTTTGAAATATGAAGTCTAGAGCAAAGATTATTTTCTAATTCAACTTGAAATAGAATAAAAAACCAAGGATTTTGTGTACCCTCGAGATTAACTTTGAATGAATAATTTAATTTTGCAGCAACAGACATAACTAATTCATCTGACTGCTGATTTCAATTTCTGAGATAACTCATGTTTATCCACATTTTTTATACCAGCAAATTTTGATCTATCGGACTAAATAGAAGAACCAAAAGCACACAATAGATTTGATACGTAATGCGTTCTCGTCAGTTCAGAGACGCGAGCTGCAAACTGTGTAAACAATTATCATTTTTAAATATTTTTAGTACGCAATGAATTTTTCAAAAAAAATGTAAATTAAAAAATAAAACATTTTTCGAAAGTCATACCCCCACACGCTATTTAAAGTATAAAGGTAGATCTTCAGCATAAGAGTATCGTTTCAATTAGAATAACTAGCCTACTTCGTACATACAGTGCTGATTCAAATTATCCGGACAAAACGAACAAAACTTGACACGTTTTTCTCAAATTGGGTTAAGATCAGACAAAAAATGAAGAGAACAAAAGTTGCTTAGAATTTCATTAGATTTAATATGGTTTAATTTTTTCTCCGAAATTGTCAACCAAAATTTTACCCCAAAAATGGGTCATTTTGGCTTTTTTCAATTGATCAAAAATTACGCTGAAACTACTTTGATAATTAATAAGAAAACTATTACGCTGAAACAACGCTGAAAATCAGAAATTACGCTGAAACAACTTTGTTAATTGATAAGAAAACTATGTCACAAGAAGCCTCTTACACAGTTATTGACTACCAAGTAAAAAAAAATTCTCTTATACTGGTTTTTGGAGATTAATTTTTTCTTAAAATTTGTTGGGCTGCTTAAGGGGCTTCTTGTGATATAGTTTTCTTATCAATTAACAAAGTTGTTTCAGCGTAATTTCTGATCAGTTGAAAAAAGCCAAAATGACCCATTTTTGGGGTATAATTTTGGTTGAGAATTTCGGAGAAAAAATTAAACCATATTAATTCTAATGAAATTCTAAGCAACTTTTGTTCTCTTCACTTTTTGTCTAATCTTAACCCAATCTGAGAAAAACGCGTTTGAAAATAAATTCAAGTTTTAATCGTTTTGTCCGGATAATTTAAATTAGCACTGTATTTAGCATAATCATATCGTAATAATAAGGATAACTAGAATGCTTCGATTCACTTCGGAATGATCTCTCAGCCGGATTAAATTTTCGCTTAGGTGATAATAGCACGAAATATATCGCTCGTTAATTATCCTACATGGCCCAACTGCAAACTTTCACACTTTCATTATTTTGTTCAAAATGATAAAAAACGATTTTTTTTAAACACACTAAAAAACTTCGAAATGTTGCCTGGAATGCAGTTCTATTTGCGGAGAAACACTTCCAGAAAAACAAGCAAGGAAATTTAAGGAAAATTCAAATTAAAATATCAAGCCTCAACTCAGCGAATAAAAATTTGGCTGAATACTGTATAAGCAAAAACAACCTTGATGTCGTGAATAACTTGACTGTATAAATTGTAATCTAATTCTTTTTGCATTGTGAGTGATCCCTAGGGAAGCATAACTTTTTTTGAAAGAACCCATTTTGACCAAGCTGAACGAAATTTTCAAGCGAATCAAAAAAGAAAATATACGAAGTCAAAGTCGCTATTGCAGCACTAAATCAAAGTACTATAAGCAACTCCATAAAAATTACGTCAAGCAAAAACAAACAAGTTTAAGATGTGGCAACTAAGCCCACGAAGCATAATCACTTACGTTTTAGACAAACAACTTGTTGTGAACCTGGATATTTTCAGTTGAAAAAGCAGGTCCTGGTCAGCTTCGAACCCTGGAGATTTCCCGTTCCCGGCGTATAAGCATGCCGGAGATGCTGAGAAACTTGAATTCATTATGAACCTAGATACCAAAAGATTCTGTTAAAAAAGTTCTTGACCCGACAAAAAAGTCTATATTCCAATTTGATGAAGCTTGCTAATCGTCTGCAAGCTTGGATATCTTTTGAATTTTGAGCTGAAGACATCAGTAGTTTTCAGATGATATTAGGAAAGACTTAAGTAATGTTTAGTTGAGAAGTCGAAATAGGTCAGGGCAAAAAAACTACCCCTAGCAAACTTTACGTCACTTTCTTCGAAAGTTGTTAAAATAAAACAAACAATTAAACGTTCGCTATGCACAGAATGTTTCAATCATTTCAGCATTGCAAAATTTAGAACACAAAGAGCTCAATATGCAGAAACAAATAAAGTGAAAACAAATTTAAACCTTTTGGTGCTCATGTTTTGTTATTTTGCGGGAAGTTTTTCTTGTCTAGCGAATGAATTAATATCTAAAATTGAAGAATTACCTCGGCTTAAATTGACGATGGTTAAACAATTAGGTGTTTCTGTAACCAGCCTTATAGGAATATAATTTGAAAAGTAAAAATAATCAAAGCCATTTTTTTGCAGCACGAGAACCTTTTTATTGACATTTGTTTTTCGGGATCCGAATCACGACTTAAAATGATTCAGCATGACGCCTCATTCAAAGTTCGCATTAAAAACAACCTTTAATGTCGTCTTCCTCCCAAGTCCGTGGTCGGCACAAAAAAAAGCGCAGGTAATGGGATATGCTAGATTATCCACGAGCGACAAAAAAAACACGCAGATAGTTATACAAGCCAAAAAATAACGCTTGAAAAAACTGAAAAATATATTAATTAGCTCTAACTAATAATATAAACCGTCAATTAATTTTGTCGGCTAAATGAAGCAGTCTACTCAACATCAGAACAAAAGTGTACAGCAAAGGAATAAACCGCAAGATAAATGAAGCAAATCATTAAAAATATGATTGCCAAGCAAATCATTCACGATGGTTGCCCAGTTCTGAAAGAGCTGGAAGACAAGAAAAGACACATTCTCAAATTTTGAAACAGATTAAATTAAGTCTCAATCGGTTTCATCAAAATTAAGTAGAAGAGCTATAAAAACAAAAAGTCAGAAACTTCCTTCAAAGTTGACTCAAAGGCAACTAAGGCTTGCTAAAATCGATCGAAAGAATTTTTGACTCGGGTGTTTTAGTTTTTCCACTTCTGCTTTACTTTTATGTTGATATGCAAAACAATGACCAAAAAAAGTTACCCAATGGGTTCGAGTAACTGATGTTCTATATGCACGCTCTTTCAGACGTGCTGGGATCTGAAACTTATAAAATTTGGTTTCTAGAATACCCGGTTCGTTTGAAATTAAGGCTTTAAGATTAACTTTGATTGCACCATCACTCTTCACAATGAATCGACCCTCCGCCACTCGAACGAAAGAAGTTGAAAATAACAAAAAATGGTTTCTTGATAAAATGACAAGTGTCCAATTTTCGTGCTTATTGCACAGCAACCGACTTAAGTCTTAAACAAATGGATACTTTTTCACCGAGTACTCTAATCATCCGGAAGAAATTATTTGCTAAGGGGTTTGTTTTTACGCAGAAAATGGCGAAAAAAGGCGCAGCTAATAAATTTTAAAAAAATTTTAGAAAAAAATTAGTATCACAAAAACAGTAGAAAAACACAACCACAGTAAAATACGCTTCTGTATTAAACGCACTGCCACCAATACGACAACCAGCAGGTAGACAACCAGCATCAGCCGGCAAAAAAGATGCCATGAAAAATTTTCGAACAATGGCAGCCAAAAAATCAGTTATAAATCCGCAACTTCAATTGATGCCTCAAGCTTTGTTGAAAAATTTATTATCAAATCATTAAATTTGAAATCAAACAATAACCAAAACAACTAATTATCTTCCAAATTAATTTTCTGGTACAACTTGACATGGATTGCGCTTCGAGACAAATACTCAATTTACACTCAGTGTACAACAAATAAGCAAATTATGCATATACAAAAATTGTCATATTTTAACATATACCATTTGGTTTTCATTTTCACACCTTAAACTGGAACTATATCCCTTAGCAAAGGGAGGGGGTTAGTTTAAATTCAAACGTTGAATTCTGATATAACTTAGCGCACCGTTGGGAAAATATTGGCCTGAGTTCTAGTTTAAAATTCGTCATGAGGAGCTTCCTCGCCCCCTTCGGGCGGAGGTGGTGCTGCACCCTCGTACAATTTGCTAATGATAGGCTGCACAATTTCTTCTAGTGCCTTCTTGTGCTCCTGGATCTCTTCAGTCTCCGCGTTCGGGTTTGACTCTAACCAGCTAATTGCTTCATCTACTGCTTTGGTGACTGTTGCCTTGTTGTCTTCGTCTAATTTGCCTCCGAGCTTCTCCTTATCTTCGATTTGATTTTTCAAATTGTATGCGTATGATTCTAGTTCGTTCTTAGCATCTACCTTAGCCTTTACCTTAGCATCTTCTGCCGCAAATTCTTCGGCTTCTTTGACCATTCTCTCGATATCTTCGGGTGTTAGTCGGTTCTGGTCATTCGTAATTGTGATCTTTTCTTCATTGCCAGTTGCAATATCTTTGGCTGATACCCTAAGAATAGCGTTCACATCCATCTCAAATGTGACTTCAATTTGGGGTACACCTCTGGGCGCTGGTGCAATTCCGGTCAAATCGAACTTGCCCAACTGGTGGTTGTCTTTTGTCATGGGTCGCTCTCCTTCAAAAACTTGGATTGTGACGGTCGGTTGGTTGTCCTGGGCAGTGGAAAAGATTTGCGACTTCTTTGTTGGCACAACTGTGTTTCTTGGGATCAGTTTTGTCATCACACCACCGACAGTTTCGATTCCAAGAGTCAACGGACACACGTCGAGAAGGATCAAATTACCAGTATCAGATTCTCCGCTCAAAATTCCGCCCTGAACTGCAGCACCAAATGCAACGGCTTCGTCGGGGTTAATACCCTTGCTAGGCTCTTTGCCATTGAAGAACTCCTTGATCAGCTGCTGAACTTTAGGGATTCGAGTTGATCCTCCGACAAGAACAATTTCGTGAACTTCGTGCTTTTGCAAATCAGCGTCTTCCAAAACCTTCTTAACAGGAGCCATGGTGTTTCGGAAGAGATCCATGTTCAGCTCCTCAAATTTGGCACGGGTCAGCGTTTCTGAGAAATCTTCACCATCGAAGAACGATTCGATTTCCACTCGTGCTTGATGCTGAGATGACAAGAGCCTCTTGGCTTTCTCAACTTCTCGTCTGAGTTTCTGTACTGCTCGGTTGTCTTTCGTGACATCTTTTCCAGTCTTCTTCTTGTAGAGTTTGATGAAATGTTCCATAACCCTCTGATCGAAATCTTCACCTCCCAAGTGAGTGTCACCATTAGTTGCGAGTACTTCAAACACTCCTTGGTCAATCGTGAGAAGAGTCACATCAAATGTTCCACCTCCCAAGTCGAAAACCAAGATATTCTGTTCCTTGTCAGTCTTGTCCAAACCATATGCAATTGCTGCTGCAGTGGGCTCGTTGATTATTCTCATCACATTGAGACCAGCGATTGCTCCCGCATCTTTAGTGGCCTGTCTCTGGGCATCGTTAAAGTATGCAGGGACAGTCACGACAGCATTCTTCACTGTTTTTCCAAGGTACGATTCAGCCGTTTCCTTCATCTTGGACAAGACCATTGCACTGATTTCTTCCGGGGAGAAAACTTTATCGGCTCCACTTACTTTCACTTGCACGTGAGGCTTACCATTCTTCTGAGTTACTGTAAAAGGGAAAAGTTTGATGTCTTTCTGAACCGTGTCATCACCCCAGTTTCGACCAATCAATCTCTTGACATCGAAGACAGTATTCTCAGGATTGCTCGTCAGCTGATTTTTGGCCGCATCGCCGATTAATCGCTCGCCATCCGAAGTGAAGGCGACGTAAGATGGTGTAATTCGGTTACCTTGGTCATTGGCAATGATGTCAACTCGTCCATTTTTGAATATCCCCACACATGAGTAGGTGGTTCCCAAATCTATTCCTATTACGGTTCCTACGTCGCTTTTCTTCTCGGTGTCTTCTTCAGCTGCCTCTTCACAGAAGGCACCCACGACAAAGAGGGCAAGAAGGAAAATAGTTTTCATTTTACCTGAATCAAATTATGAGTTTTTCAATCACGAAATGTTTTTCAGAAGAAGATTGTTTATAACAATGCAAAGAATGACTCGTTATAACAGCGAAACAATATGTCTCTTTTTATTAAATTTCTCAATTGAATTCAGTTTTCTGTAAAAATGTTATGGCTTTTCTGTTTTCAAGATTGAGTTTTGTATCCAACTTACAAGAAAATTCTCTTGACGTCAGTGGAAATGTCGTGTACAATTACAGCCGAATGTGGAACAATCTGATTGGATAATATTAATTTCGAGCATGACATAAACGAATTATTCAAACTGAACAATGAAATTGAAACAACCAGAAAGAAACCACAAAACGGGGAATTTGTAGCATCAGGATACAACCGCGATGAGATATTTTGGTAAAAAAAAAGGCTGTAATTGATCAATATATTGATTATTAAACACTGAGTATTTCAAATTTAAAATTCTGAGAAAAGGGATTTTAATAACTTTTGATAAAAAAGAAACCTACATTTGTCAATTTATTACTGCTTGATCAAAATTTATCTTAATCAGGTTACAGCTTTTTGGAAAAGAGAAGAGAAGAAACAAAGATAATCAGATAAAAAACATTAGTTTAACAGTTCTTTATGTTTCCTCTCGAATGGAAATCCAATATGCAAGGAACAGATTATGCTGTTGCTCTAAAATTTCAATCAAAGAAAACAACCATGAGAACAAAAGAAACTCAATTTTCAACTCAGCTGAGAACAGTGAAAAAAAAAAAGACTCGAGCAGATGGTTATTTTCGCTAATCAAACATCTTCATGAAACGAAGAACAAAAATTTCATATCAAGAGAAATTGAAGCTCCTGATTCAAGAGCGAGCACCATTTAGTCGCACTGTTCAAATGGGCCATAGAATCATAATTGTGACTCTACTCACTAAAACGAGAGTTTCTTTCAACTCCGGTTCAATCTAGGCAGGTGTTAGTTTTTTCAATCTGATTGGCTTGATTCCCAACCATCGTACTCTCTTTACTTCTATCCGCGTTACACTTTACTCTTTCATATCCAGAAAATTTCTGGGATTTTTTTGACTGAAATATGTGATGAAAGGCCTCCTGACTGTAACATTGACCTTCTTATCATTATTAGAGAAGAAAGAAAAACCAAAAAAAATTAATCAGTTGTCCACCTAGATAACGGTGTTCCGAATTATGAAAGCAAGTGCGACGCTAATTGAAATGGCAGATGTCCCTTCAGTATACCCAGTTTGACAAAAATGCTTGTCCTACAATTTTCAAAAATGAAAAATTCATACAATTTCGTACAATTCCATAGATACAGAAATGTTAAGGAAACTCTAAGATAAGCATTTTTTTTTAAAAAAAGAAAATTGTAGGATAAGCTTTTTTTCATGAACAAAAATAAGTGTTTTTTTTTAATTTGGTTTCTCAAAATTTTTGGGATGTGTTCGTGACCGAACACAAGTGACTAAACTCAAAAGTGGTTTACTCAAAAGTTGAATCACCAAAGGGTTGATCTTCTGGCTTTTACAATGCTTTGGAAACATCCTGAATTGTGTAAGAATTCTTTCACAAATCATTTACTGAAAAAATCAAACTTTTAAAAATTGACAAAAATTTTCAAAGATGATTGTTTTTAAAATTAGAATTTGCAAACTATCAGACATTGATCAAGGCATATATAAACATGCCACACAAAAAAAAACAGGATTTTTCAGCGTGTTTGAAAAAATTTATCGAGAAAAAATGAAAAAACAAATCAAATTTTCTATATCCAGGACTACGTTATGCAGATAAAAAAAGAAAAATTGCACGAAAAAATTTTTTTTATGAAAAATATTTGTTTGAGTACAAAATTCGATTTGTGGTTGAAACAAAAAGAAACAAAAACAATTGGAGCGATTTCAATTTTACTTGGAAATATTTTTTTTCGCCATCAAAAAAGTGCTAGTCAAACAATTTTCCAAAAAAAGAAACATAGATTTTTTTTTGTCACCAGACTGTTTTATTTGATTCAAATAGCCGCAGAAACTAGTTCGAATCTTTTTTCAAGGATTTTTTGAAATTTTATTAACTTTTTCATAAATTTAATGTATGGAAATTAATGACAAGCTTTTTTGTTGTATGGTATTGTAAGATAAGCATTTTCTTTTATGGAGGTTAACCCGGGTACTCAAAACAGATTGTAAGTTGGGAGTTACACGGAGAAAATTCAAAACATAATTTGATGATAAAAGTGTGTTCTCAGTTAGGATTATTTGAGTTAATTAATGAGAGGTGCACTTGATGCCTGTGCAATAATCAGAAGGTCGAAAATATCATAGTACCTAGGTTACAATCAGAAGTCCCTTCGTCGCATTATCCTAGGAAAAGTCTTGATAAGTAAGAATAAAGTATAAAGTGGATAGAAGTAAAAAGAGTCAGATGGTTTGGGATCAAGCGAACCAGATTGTGAAAACTAACACCTGCACCGACTGAATCGGAGATGAAAGTGACTCAAAAAGACTGGTCTGAAGACTGACAACGCGTCTGTTGTATTCTAATACAAAACAGCGTTTTCGTTCCCTTGGCTCCATAAATTAAAAAAAAAATTTTCGAAAGCAATTTTATCATTGAAAGTGCCGAGTATACAGGCATTTTTCGCAACCTGTTTTGCGAGGGAATTTCTCTGCTCATCAAAACTACCTGCACTGGGTTCCTCGGTACATGTGCTCAAGGTCTTACAAATTTTATTTCGAAAAAACTAAGTATGTGTGTGTGAAACGGCTGTGGCCGATGGGGCAGATTGCAAATTGATAGATTGAGAGATTTGTTTTTTGATAGATAGTTTTTTCAACAAAAAATTTTCGAAGATCAGAGTGCCGCCATTTCTAGCACCGAAAATTTTTAATTGAGGCTATGAAAGAACTTGAGCACATGAACCGAAGAATCCAGGGCAGTTATTTTATTTCTGCAGAGATTCTCCTTAGTACAGGTTTGAACGGTAAATGCGTAATCGGCACGATAAAAGATAAACCTACTTTTAAAGATTTTTTTTTAGAAAAACAAGGGGTCGAAAGAGCAGCTTAGTTTAGGTCCTCATGTAGACCCGTAACCTCATATCAGGTTAATTTTTATCAACTCCGGTTTAATCTTTGCAGGCGTCAATTTTCTCGTTCTGAAATGACTGAATCCCAATCACCTGATTCTTGACTTTTACTTACGTTGCTTTTTATTTGTTCCTAATTTATGAAACTCGAATATGTTTTTGACTGGGTAATGTGATAAAGAATTAGTGAAATAATTTCGAATACCACGCTAGTTCCTGATATTCTGATTTAAATAGGTTTGGAGAAAGAAACCAAAACGCTGAGGGACTTCCTAATGGTTTAGTCAGTGGAGTTCAAAGTGACAAGGAATGTTGACGCTTGACCCATGGGTGGGTAGGCTGCTCCTTTTGACACTGTAACCACTACTAGAATTAGCTCAGACACGTTTTGGTAACCCGGTATGCTTTATAAAAATCACAACAAATATAAGAATCACAAAACTAAAAGAATTCGGTATTCTTCTTCGGATGACAAATTCGCAATCCTGGGAACCCTGACAGCATCCCCCTATTGTGTCGCTAATTTCAATTTTCATGAAATAAATACTGAGTTCCAAAACAAGTGAAAAACGATTTTTAATCCTTGCAGTATACGATATAGGCGAAATGTGAAGAAAGTATTTCGCTAAACATGGAAAAACGGTACGTCGAAAAATTTGAAACTGACTACGAGATAGTGAAGCCAGCCATCAAAAGTAACATAAAATAGAAAAATTCTAAAAAAAACTTCTGCAGTGATTGCTTTGATGCGTTTCTATCCAGAGCGAAGATTAATGAAATCAGTCCTTTGGGTGCAACTCCCCATGTTTTGACTAAATTCCGCTGAACGCGACCATTAGGTTACTTCTAGACTGTTATTTAAGATATAACTCAAAACTTGATGAAATTTGATTCATATGTGAGCCTTTTTTGTCCCCCGCCCAAAACTGCATAAATTCTGTTTGCTGATTACTCGTGTTTTTGTTTCAAAACTGTCTGTGGCCGGATAGTTTTGCAAAAAAACTCCGAAAAAGTCTAAGATTGGTTGTCAATGATTGCAGCTTTGATAGTTTCAAAGAAAATGTATCTCATTTCAATTTTAATTGAGAAAAGCTTACGCTGTGTTAAATTTGGTCACCAATTCTTTACCTTTTAATCAGAAGTTTTAACTCAAAGTTTTTCTTGGTAACATGGTTGCTCAATATTAACGGATTTTGAATAGTTTTCACTACCAGTTTCAAAACAAGACTGCTCGTATATCAGGGTAAAGCCTTGAAGGTTCTGTTTTCCCTTAATCCGTATCAAAGTTTTTGGGGAAAAAAACAGAAAAACTACAAAATTTGGACAACTTCAAAAATCAAGTTCGATTATTTGAGTCGTACGAAAATTTTACGACCGCTAGGCTAGCCTCAGTTCAATTTGGAACAATTTTGTTGAGCGTGATAATTCGCCACGCATAAATAGTTTGCATTACGCCTTCAGGATTATGTGTAAAGTCTTCAAAGCGCGCTTAAATTAGTCCAGAGCATGGCGAAATTGGCAGTTTTTAAACTCCCAAAAAGTTGCAAAAAGAGTGCAAAAAGTTGACTTGAGGTAAGTCAGTTTTTGAATTTAATATCAGGAAGTCTTTTATAATTTTTTATATTTGATATCAGGAAGTTGATACAATCAATGGGCCATAAATATTTTTTGTTGAATACCATCAATACGATCGCCGAAAATGTATTGAATAAAAAAACACACCAAGCATAAATATTCCGCTCTGTTCGAAAGTAGGAGCAGTTAAGAAAACCAAATTTGGAAGATATCATAAATGTCGTGATGTCAAAATCAGAAAATGCTTTAAATTATTTTTCATATATGCTAGATTTGTCGATGTCCATTATTTTAAAGCTTTTATTTATGAAAAGCCTGAGATTTACCTCAATGTGTAATTTGTTTGTTTGTCTGAACTGTTTCACGTTTAAAAAAATAAGTTCAAGCGGTGGAGGCGATTATCGCTATTTGCCGAAAGGAGAATGACCTGGCCACATGTTCTGACGGGTAGCTGGTTATTTCTCATGCAAAAATAGTTTTTTAGCAGTGATGGATTGATTTGAGTTAATTAGATTCGATTTAAATAGGGGAAAAACTTAATTTAAGAGGAAAGGAAAACTGCGCGAGTTTATGGTTAATGTTGCTCGATGAAGCTGCTGTCAAATCCATCAGTTGTCCGAATAATTGAACTTCGCTTTTTTCAATGTCAGAAGAAGAATTGAGATTCTAAACAACAAGTCCACAACTTTTAGAAATAATCACACTTATACAAACAGAGCCCTTGTTCTGGTCTAAATTTCTCCAAATCTGGATTTGGAGAGAGGGTCGTTCGTTCGTTTTGTCTGTTTGATGCATCTAAGGTTTCGATTCTAAGACTTCTGAGCAGGCGCGGATCTACAAATTTCTCGACGGGGAGGGGGGGGGGGTGCAGATTTTCAAAATTGATTTTCTGAGGTCTTCCAAATTTGTAGATTCCTAATTCGACCAAATTTTGTGAAAAAAGGTCAAAAACGGCACTTTTTGGAAAATTTTGACCAAAAAAATTGCGTTTTTTTTGGCGCGCGCTCCCCCCTCAAAATTAGTATATATTGGCGCCAATGGCGCCTTTAGAAAAATTTTAGGCCCCGTCATCAAAAAATGGATATCTCAAAATAATACAAAGGGGGGACCCTTTGGGTCGGCAGGGGTCCCCCTAAATCCGCTACTGCTTCTAAGTAAGGTTGTGACAAAAGATCTTTTTGATTCATTGATGCAAAGTAACTACACCAATGGCTTACAACATCTTGTTTAACATAGACTGAAAAGAAGTATTGTGACGTGAATTAACTTACCAAAGAGACAAATCGGCTGTTCCGATGGCATTTATTTGTGTAGTTTTCAATCTCAATCAAATAAATGATTATTACTTGCTTCTTTCTTCAATCTGTAAGCCCCCACCCTCGCATTTTTCCTAAGTGGAATAAATTGACACCTTAAACGGAACTTTTTTGATGGTTCCAATTCAAATGAAAACGTGTTTTTGAAAAAAAACGGAATGTCTGAAGAAAATATGAAAACTACTGCAGCTCTGGGTCAAACTATAAAATCTTTTGAGCCAAGATACAGAATTAGTTTAGTGATTCAGATTTTTTTACGATCTATTTAAGCTGTGATTTAAAACACCCCTAGTTCTGTGATTCAAACTCTTAGCAGTAAAATCAGGAACAAAGTCAAATTTGTTAAATAAGAGCAAAGTCAATCGCGTTTTTCAGGGTCAATCGCGTTTTTCAGGGCGTTTTTCAGTCAATCACGTTTTTCCCCCTTCCCCCTTCCTCCAAAAAATAGTATAAAACTAGATACGCACCACAGGCGCATTTTGAAAGATTTTAGGGTCCGCTAGCCAAAAATTGATTGTCCTAAAGACTTGGGCGGATCTAGGATTTTCTCGATTGGGGGCGGACTTTCAAAAAAAATTCGAAAAGTTTGTCGACCTTTTTTTTAGGTTGACCAAACTGATTTTCCGAGCTGTCCCTTATCACCTTAAACACCCCATTTTCTGCGCCGCATTTTCGCCGTTTTTTGGCACTTTTTGGAAAATTTTGACCAAAAAACCAAAAAATTGCGTTTTTTGGCACGCGCTCCCAACCCCCCCCCCGCTACTGCTTAAAATAGTACCAAAGGGAGATACTTTAGTTAGTCAGCCCCCCTACCCAAAAAAATCCGCTAATCTTTAAAACAAATATTGAACTTTGTTAAAATGTTAAAATCGAATGTTAAAATCGATTCCATTTTTGTTAAGAAATAAACTAAAATAATATTACTGATTCTAACTTTTTCACAATTACTCATATCACTAACTTTTTTCATCAAAAATTGAAAAATTAGGTGATTTTTTTTGTTGACTATTTTTAGTTTTGTTTAAATATCGAAAACTGCACGCATGCCTCCTGTATTGAGATCGCCCCCTCTAGATTCCACATACTCTCGGGAACTACACACTTGTAGGAGTGACCCCCCGAAGTGGAGGAGTTGTACAGAGAGTATCCGAAGGAGTCTTGGCCAGTTTCTCGTCTTTTCGCAAACGAGAACAACGCACAGTCCTCAACATTGTCATCTAAAGACAAATGCTCTTTTTTCTTTTCTCCCAACTTACACGAGCATCAATTTCACAGCGTAACAAGTAGTTTTACAAGGTTTATTATGATGACCAAATATGTTTATCATGGCCTAATTCGTCTGCACGTCAATATTCACAACAATTGCAAAACATGAAATTTTTTTTTTAAAGGGTAGCCATTTACCGGGCAAATAGCACAGAATGTTCCGACCATAGTCTTTATAAAAAGTACAAAAAAGCTTTTTTATTTCCAATAGTGTATTTTTTGCGAGGCGTGATAAAAGGATCTGACGGAAAACTATAATTAGGGCACATTCGACAGTCATAGTAAGGGAGGCAAGTTGGACAAAAGTTTTTGGACAAATTGGACAAAAATTACAAGAAAAACAAAAAAATTGTGGTATCTGATTTTGCGGGGTACGATGATTTTTTGCGGTACCTTATTTTGCTTGGAAAACAGAAAAGAAAAAAATTGAAACAAACCCGGAAACAAAGTTACTCCCCATGTTCAATGGTCGGAACAAAAATTTAAAAAATCAATTTTTTTCAAAATTTTTTGCAGAAAATTTTCTAAATTTTTTGAAGTTTTTGCTTCCCAGAATGGAGCTAAATAACTTTTAAAACTAGTAATACTTGCTTAAAACTAGGTTTTAATTGCTTAAATTAGGCAAAATTAAGCTGTTGCAAGCCTGCTCACTTGCTCTGTTCGATCGAATTGACAATAAATCGAAAATTTCAAACCGGTTTTTCTCGACACCAGAAAAAAATGGTGGGAATTTCTTAAGGTGGATCAAATCACGACTGAAAGGGCATCAATATGATATATCAATCAACCCAGCCGATTATTGTTTGTGGCGCCTGATTTATCGGGGAAACGAAAAGTAAAAAAAAAATACACCAGAATACAAAGTTCCTCCCCAATTTCAATGGTCGCAACAAAAACTCAAAAATCAAATTGTTTCAAATTTTTTTTCCGAAATTTTTAAAAAACTTTTTTGAAGTTTTTGCTTCCCAAAATGGAGCTAAATAACTTTTAAAACTAGTAATACTTGCTTAAACCTAAGTTTTAAGCGCTTAAAATAGGCTGTTGTAAGCCTGCTCGCTTGCTTTATTCGCTCGAATTCAGACGAAATATAAAAAATTTAAAACCAGTTTTTCTTGACACTGGAAAAAAATTAGGGAACTTTATAGGTGGTTCAAATCACGACTGAAAGAGCTCTAACATGATATATCACTCAGCCCAGTCTGATGATTATTTGTGGTACCTGGTTTTGCGTGGAAAACAAAAAGGAAGAAAAAACTAAAACACACCCGAACACAAAGTTGAACATGCCTAATTTAAGCACTTAAAACTTAGGTTTAAGCAAGTATCACTAGTTTTAAAAGTTATTTAGCTCCACTCTGGGAAGCAAAAACTTCATAAAGTTTGGAAAAATTTTTGCAAAAAAAATTGATTTTTAAATTTTTGTTCCGACCATTGAAAATGGGGAGGAACTTTGAAAGTTCCTCCCATTTTCAGTGGTCGGAACAAAAATTTGCGGTTGAGGAGGGAGGGGAATGAAAAGGAGCCAAGACAAAAAATATAGAACAGGATTAAACTATCAGATAAGCAGATATGCAATGTCGGCTTTTGGCCTTTGCGAGACTTTATGACCGACATTCTTCGATTTAAATTTTGGCGCACTGTTGGGTTCAATCTCAATAAGCAGTAATGTCAAGCTTCTGCCACCATATCTAAACTAGATATTACGACTGTGCAAGTTTAATCAAAACAAAATTATTAACTTTAAATCCGTGATTGTTTTTTTTTTTCAGAACAATTTCTAATGTCAACTTTTCTCGGACTTAAAATTGCCTGTAGGTCCTGCTGGCGTCGAAACAACTCGTGCTGATTTAAAGTTGGCAGAGGAAGAAGAATCAAAGTTCAGCTCTGTTTCTTCTTGCTTGTTCTAATAAAATTGGGTTATTAAAAAAACCGTTATCTGACTCCAACTACAAATCGAGACGCGCCTTCACCATAAAATCAAAAACCAATTAAACACAAACTAAAAAAATGAAAAAATTATAAACTTAAACGTAGTTGATCATTTAGAAGTTAATATTCAAGCAGAAATGTTCATCTTGGACCTTATTCCCCTTGAAAACTGATAATCGAAAATCCAAAAAAGTCTGCGTTAAAAAAAACAATTTTTCCAAATATTTTTTTTGGTTAAGGAACACTTTTCCGAGAGCTTGTGTGATAGGCAAATGTACCGGCCCCATCTTTTCATTTGTATATTTCTATATCTTACCAAATAATGTAACTATATCAGCGCAAAAACTACAATTTTTAACGGATTGCTTTTGAATTTTTAGAATTTCACAAGTTTGAATCACGGACAAAATCAGTCACAAAAATGTTTAAAATAATAGTATAAGAGTTTTTTGATGTAGTCAAAATGGTCTGAATATATGCTTGGGCTGGTTTTTTTTATTCAGACCAATTTGAGAAAAAAGTATAGAGTGGGGTTAGAAAGTGTTAGCATCGTTTTTTAAGCGAGAGTACTCTACATCCTAGTTGCGCTTTGAAGATTGAATTTTGACTAAACAGTTTGAAATACCAGTAAGTAGCTAAGCAATATACTTAATCAGGTAACTGTCAGATACACCTCATGTTTAGATAGACAATAATAAGCTCTCATGTAAATGGCAAAATATGCAGCAATGAGGATTCTGGCATCTTGAAGTTAGCGATATTTGCATTTATCCAATTTCAATGCGTCTTTTTATTGTACCGAAAATTTTCGAAAAAATGACGGAACATTTGTGCTCGAGAGGTTTTTCTCCAGACAAATTTCGGCTGTTTGCTTTCTTAATAACTAAGTTTTGACGGAATTTTTTATATCAGCCAAAACATATTGTTGTTATGAGCTCAAGTTCAAAAAGTATTACCTGTGATCTTTGTAAACAAACAGCTTGAGCTTGAAAACTACTAGCTATGATGAACAGCAGCTAATCGTGAACTCTTTCCGAGAATCGAGTTGAATCGAAATTAGTTGTGCTGAAAAATCAATCTAAGACTAGCAGGGCTTAATTTTTTACAGAAACTACAATTTTTAATATATGTGTAAGCTTTCGAGGCTCTTTTTCCTTTCCCCCCTAGAGCCCAAATATGTTTGTCATAGCCTAATTAGTCTGCATACCATGTATTTTTGTCTGCATTTTTGTAACAATCCGATGATGTGAACAAAATTTTACTATTAAATTTTTGCTGGTGGGGGGAAAAGGAAAAAGAGCCGCTTTCAACAAGAGTAACAGAATCCTTATATTTGGGGTGTTTTTTTAAACCATTTTTTGACAAATTATTATATCCCGGATTTGGCAAAATTTAAAAAAAAATCTATTTTAATGTATCTTCGTGGTCTTAAATATTATCAAAATTGTCGATTCCCATGTTACGCTCAGACAACAAAATAGGACTGAAAATGGATCTTAAACCATTTTTCCCGCAAAAATGTAATGCATTTTATTTCATTTGAAATCCATTATAACAGATTATAGAAAAAGTAGAAAAACACATTCAATTGTATTTTTTTCACTTTCCTTGTTTCGCTTCGTTTTGACAATACATTAGAAAACATGAATTGATATCAAAACACGCTCTAAAATCAAAGATGAGATTGAAAACATGATAAAAATTACTGGGGTAAACCAACATCCGCCCCCCCCCCCCGCCAGAACCAACCACCTCCCCCGCCAGAATCAACCACTCACCCCAACTGAAGCAACGATAACCCCCACCTGATCCGGTTCATGTGGGATGGTGGGTTGGTTCATGTGAAGGGGGGAGGGGTTGGGTTGGTTCAGGTGTGGGGGTTTGGATCAGGTAGGGGGATGGCGGGGGTAAGAGACTAACGGGGCAAAGGTGCAAACGCTACGGGAGGGGGGGGGGGGGTAACGGAAGGGGATTAGTCCACCTCCAATTTTGTCCACCCCAAAGTTCCTGAAAAGTTGACTAAATTGTAGAAAAGAACCAAACTGAGTAATCGATTTTCATAAAAAAAGTAACAAACCTATCAAAAATGCGCAGAAAAGAATTAAATTGAACAACAAGTAACCAATTTAGTTTAAAACGTAGAAAATATTTTATGTGCGTTGAAATTTGCATCTCAATAAAGTGGAAAAAGTGAAAAAAAAATCGATTATAAAGAATCAAGAACAAATTTTGTTGCCTCGAAAAATACTAAAATATAAACTCCATTTTTAATTGCTTAAAATCGTTTTTTTTTCTTTTTTTTTAAATGAAAAATGACAATGAAACTCATATATAATCGAGTTTTATTCATGGAACTCCAATGCGGGATAGCTGTTAACGAAAAAAATTCATACTGCAAAGTAACATCGACCCACTGAGTGCAAAAAAATAATGTACTCGCAATCATTTTTGGTAGAGTTCCGACGAACTGAAAACAGCCAATCTGGTCATAATCTGGTCTAAGTTTTGCATTTTTGAAGACTTTACAGCTCCAGAGGAAATATTCGAATTGTAAGTAATTAAAAGAAAGGGCCAACTTTAAGCTTAAACAATTTCATGAACAACTAAAACAACAGTATAAGATCAAGGAACGACCTTCTCCAATCCTATTGAACATTTTTTCCAAGCGTTTCAAACCCGGGTAACATTACGAGTTTTTGGTAACATAAGAAATTTAGCAAGCGGATTTCTTCAACACTAACCAACCTGCGCTTAGAGTGTGAATTGTTGGGTTAACAGTTTTAGCTTTTTTTTACCAGCATTTCAAATTTGCAACTTTTTCAGTTGTCTTACGTGTTATTAAGACTGAATGCGTGATCTTACCTTTTAAGGAATCAAAAAGAAACCTGTTAACAATAATTAGTTTGTTCACCATGCAAAACTTCATTACATTACGACAAGCAAAATTAGTTTTTCAAAACTAAAATTCAAATGGAGGGGGGGGGGGGGTGGGGGTGGTAAAGAGCTATATTTTTTTTAGCAAAAAAACGCAGCAAACTAACTCTACAGCAAGCTGTTATTTTTTGCAATCAGAAACGGCAGAAAACAATAGTGCCAACTAACAAGTTTTATAATCGCCACCCAGAAAGAACATCCCCTTCAATGATACTCCTGGAACGACTGTTGCTTCAACTTCCGAGTTGGGAGGTCCGCATTTGTTCCTGCCTAGAAATAAAAGAGATCATTTGCTTAGACTCAGTTAAAATTAGAATTAATAATAAAATATTATCTAGTACAAACTGAATGTGCTTCCTTTTTTGTTAAAAAAATTGTCTAAATTGAAGCGAGATTGATCTCCATTTTAGACTTGTCTGCGTTCATGGTTTATCAAAAAACCCAACGTTCTTTTTCTTTATTTGGCAAAGGTGAACAAATTAACCCAATGTAAATATAGATTGTAATCCCGCCGGATAATGACAAACCTCTAAAGTATTATATTATAATTTATACTGGTCGTATGACCTTGATAGTTGTCGTACACATAGGTGAAATCAATGGTTTTCAGAACAAGAGTTAAATGTTTGGGGTTGAATGATCCTAAAGCTTTGAGGTAAAATAAGGATTGGTTAGACCGCAGAAACACGTGTGTCTTACCGACATACACTACGGAGCCGGACTCATTTCGCCATCGGGGATTTGACATCTCGCCACCGAATGGTTGTCTTCTCAATGTAAAAAAGTGACGAATTCTTGGTCTCCACTTTGACATGGATTGCGATAAATGAGCCCAAGTTTATAGAAAAAAAATATATATTTCAACACAGCTTTCTTTTTTTGACGGGTCTTTTTTTGACGGGACGTTCTTGAGAACAATTGAACTAAAAATTGGGGTCTTTGACCCGTGACCCGTAACAACTAGTGACTGGCACATTTTCGAACCGGATAAATTTAGTAACCAATTGATCAAAGCCTGAGACAAATTTTAAAAAGTAAATCTTTCTTACTTTTTAGAAAGCAAAACGTATGTTGCTTTGTGGCATCTTCTTTAACTTCAAATATGGGCCAAACTCTTTCTTGATGATAGTCAGAATCATTTCTCATCGCATAGCACTGCCCATCATTAGTATAAGTGGCATATGCATCGCTGTACGTTTCAAGGGCCTCAATCGCACAACTGAGGGGAGTGTATTGTGGTTTCGTTGTTATTTGGGTTCGGTTGGGCCCGACGGGTGGTAGGTCTTGCATTGTTACTCCTGGCAAAGGCGCTCCAATGCACGGGCTCTCTGAAAATTTATACACGTTATCAAAAACATAGTGCATGTAAAGTTTTGCTTTTAGAGGGCGATGAAATTATAGTTGAAGTCAAATCGTTGGCATTATCTGTATATGTGACAATGAGAATTTTAATTTTTCAAAAAACGGTGTGTAAGGTTGATTAGATTTTTTGACACAATACATGCAAAAGTAATTTCTGACGCCTAAATGAGCAGCTTTAGGCCAATGAACTTGGTTCATATTCATTGACCGAAAAAAAACATTGCCAACAATTTGGCATCAAGTACATTCCAAAAGTTTTCGTTAAGCTATAAACGGACTCAAACACTCTATCTGTTGTCATAGTATCTAAATTAGTTCATGTTCCATTTCTAGTTGTGCTATTTAATTCATTTATCTGTCTGGCGCTAACTGGTATTTAACCTTCGGAGTTTGTCTGTCACCTTCGGATGACCGCCAATTTATTGTCTCCGACTAAATTTCTAACATACGGTTACTTATCTCACTGGATCAATTTAAATTATCGAAACCGTATTTTCACATGGTGCAGACAGCAGGCCAAAGTGGGGGGAAAACCCCACTGGGAATTACATCGTTTTGGCCCTCGACGTTCGCAGAGCCACCAATGCTATGGGAGTTTTGGTTTAATCGTTTTCAATGGGGGATGGTGGCAAAACATGGCCTAAATCCGAAGAACTTTTATTATGCCAGTACGTTAACCGCAGCGCAGGTTGCAGCATTACCGGAGGAGGTAGACGGAAATAATTGCCTGGCGTCGGAGCAAATACTTATCTCGAACTTGTATTTGTGTCTGGGGGAGAAAGAACAAGATGAGTTACATAAGAGGAAACCACATCTGGATTTATCTACAACAAGGTACTCTCGAGTATTAGATACCATCGAAACGGAATTTAAAAAGGAACGGAACGAAACGTACGAAACATTCCAATTATTGGCACGGAAGCATTATATAGGAAAATCCTTGGAGCAGTCCCATTCAGTGTTAAGCGGGCTGGCCGCCCGATGTAATTTTGGAACGTTGGAGACCAGAAATCTGCGGGATGTGTTCATTGTAAACATGAACAATAGGGAGGCCCAAAATGAGTTATGCCGCTCGACGAAGACACCAGAGGAGGTGTACCGTATTGCACTGTCATATGAACGTGGATACAATTATGCTAAGTCATACGGGTCGGCAACCGGGTGAGCAACAACTTGTGGCATCACCGGTGGAACTGGAGCGTTTCAGATTAAAACGGAACCGGTGGGAACAATCCGGGGAGGATACAGAAACAATAGACAGCGTGGCCGTGGATCGTTCAGAGGACGAGCGGAGATGAGAGGGGGCGGTTCTAGAAGATGCTATAATTGTGCATTTTTCGTGCACAAAACACTTGGTTGGCTGACATTATCACTTCATTCTGGCAATCTTGGTACAATTCATGTATCGTTAATTAAATATTTAAAGTATGTTATTAAAAGAATTGGCTTTGGGTTCTAGAAATTATCAAAGGTTTCGGAGAGCTACCATTTAAAACTGATACAAATTCGAAAATGACTCTTAATTAATGCTTCTAAGGAGCGAAGGTCTTGTGATTTGCATTTGGGCTCGTTATGTTTTTTATGAAATATCGGAACGGTTAAGCATATGAGAGTTTTTTGTACCTAGTAACGATTATACCCCCCCCCCCCCTCCTTTGCAAAGGGGGGAATAGTCAAAGAAATCCGAAATATCTAACCGAAGATGCATGTTTTCCACTTTTCACTATCATCCAAGTCGGTAAACTTGAAACCTCCGAGAAGTTCTATCTTGTACAAGTCTTTGTCGGCAATATTATAAATCCATCCAATCGCTTTGGGATTGCCTGAAGTTGCATCCATTATTCTATCGGTCAGACCATGGTCATCAGAATCGAAGTTGTGAATGCCATCACTCCAATAACTAATAAAGTTGCTTCCGTCTATTGGGATAAGGCGTGGTCTTCCTTGATATAACAAACCTGGCATTGATCCTAAACATATATGATAAATTGTATATCCACCAATAAAAAACAAGTCAAGTGTTAAAAACAAGTATGCAACAAGCGCAGAAGGAGTGTTTCGGTGTTTTTTGAAAATGCACAATTTGATTTTTTTTATTCTTGCACAAATTGTTTTGAAGCAAAAACTTTTTCGGCAGCTTGAAAGGACAGTAAAAAAAAATTCAGGGTTTTGCCTTGATATACGAGCAGTCTTCTGGTATAAATATTGACAGTTTGCGATATGTTGCAGCAAATTATATTCCAATCTAAACTGAGGCCTGTAATTTGGCTTCACTAGAAAATTACGACACGCTGAATGTTTCCCTTTGTTTTTTATATAACGTGTGGGGGATAAAACAAAGACAATTTTAAAGATCATTAAACTGTGCGCTGGATAGGCGCTCAATTTTGTGTCTGTATGTTCCTAGATTCCAGAGACAAATCTTTAAGCTTGTTCCAAAATGTCAGTGGATTCCACTTACATAATTGCCGTGGATTCCGCGTACAAATACCTGTAACGTTAAATTTTTTCGCGCAAGTGCTGTGTCGCGGATTCCGCAACAAGCGGCTATAGCTAGTTGTTCTGGATTTCACAACTGTCAATAAAGTCCGCGAGTGTAAGTGAAATCCGCGAAACTTATAAGCGAATCACCTTTCAGTATTTGGGATAAATATCCCAGTAAGCAGTTTTTGTGATCAAAGTTCTGGAAACACAACACCGAAAAAACTCATAATTTGGAGTTAAGGGGTTGAGAGTGTTTGGAAGCACAGCGCAGCGCATAGCATATTGCCGACTTGGGTCATTCTTTAGTATTCTATCAATCTCAAATACTGATCTAGCTGGTGAAGAGTGAATTCAAATAATAAAGGCAGTATTGAGATGAGTCGAGAGTGAAATCAAATCAGGAGGGCAGTATTTGAGATAAGATGAAAGCTCTGGATACTACTTTGATAGAGTGGTCCCTCGAAAAATTCAATTATGATGAACAGGTTCCGAATGCGTAAAGCGTGTAATAATTTGAAAACTAATTTTTGTATGAATTATTCATTTCAGAAATCTCGCTAAATATGAGAAATCTCGCTTCAACTTATTTTACGGCTTACCACCAAACTGATTCAAGTTATTGTAATCAGAACTCAGTTTCGGCGTTTTCTAATTATCCACCTTGAGATTCGAGGTTTCAGGAAAAACGAATAAAAAATTTTTTTTTGAAAAGATGATGCGAAATCTTTTTGAATGACTAATTTTAATTACTAGACATTTTTAGAGCTCTAAATTATCTAATTTCAAGGGACCTGGTTATTTTAAAAGGACCGCATTAAGTACCCTTTTTCGTCGAGATTACAATATATAACAACAAATCTCCTTATAAATTGCATAATTGTGGAAAACTAATGTTGCAGAAATTGATAACTAAGTTGTATTCACTAAAAAATGATTCAGTACAAATAAGATTTGAACTCACACCGGAGTCCTTATTGGATTAGAAGTCCAAAGCCTTAACAACTCGGCCACCCTGTCTTAAAAACACCATAACGCAAGAAAACTGAAAGAACCATATATCCAATAAAATTGATTCAGAACGTTTCAAACTGGCATATGAACACTATCTATCAAGACTAATTATCAGACGCAGCGAAACTAGACGAACGCGAAAATAAGCAAAAATGATGCGGATGAGTTCAGATAAAACTCTGAAACGGGAGAAATTAGACGGATCGGTACAAGTGTTGGTACAAGTATGATGGAAAAATTCTGTTTTGTCAAGTTTTGCTCATCAGGAAACTCGTGGGATTTATAAAAAAAAGGTTTTTGTTATCTTAATAAGTTTTATATCACTAAATTTTTTTAGAGGAGTGGGAGAGGAGTGTATAACCTCATAACAGTCTAATTTAAAAAATTGTCCCGATCTAAATAACTGCTGTTTCTTGCTCAAAGATTGCTAGAGTGTATGTGTGGGAAATTTCTGGGATCTATGATTAAAAAATTACACTTTTATTGTCAAAACTTTATTTTTTTGCTAAAAAAATATATATTTTTAGGGTGTTTTTTTTCTGCTCGCTGGGGGGTTGGTTTGCTCAGCAGTTTTTCAGCATAGCACTGTTACAAGGCTACTTTTTCGAGTTCAATGATTGCTCTAGGTAAAGTCTTGCATATAAATAAAGGATGAGGTCGGTTTTTTTTAAAATTGAAAACTTCATCATGTGGATTGTCGGATTGGTTTTTGTCCTCGTTTTGGTGAGTTTGTCAAAATTTTGACCATTAAGAAACGATTGAAAGTTAAAAGGATGCTTACAATCAAATCACAGTTAGTTTGGAGTAGGTCAGTCAAAGTTCAAAATAAGATGGTTATAACGTTCAGTTTTTTGATACGTAATTGTTTTGTCGAATTATCTCCAAATATGTTTTTATTCAATGTTCAGAGTCCTGAAAGTATAAGGAGTTACGAGGAAAAATTTGCATTTTTGCTTTGGTAAATTAGGCATATGAATGTTTATAGTCATGTAACATTTTGGGTCGGCCAATCTAATAGTTGAAAAGTTGTAGGGCTGGCAGAAATTTAGTCAAAACTTCAAAAAAAAACTAAATTCTTATAAACCATCTCACTTCACGAAAAAATAAGAATTTTGGTCCAAAAAGTTTTTATCTGTTTCCTAGACGTATGTACTACTGAGTCACTTCAAATTTTACATATGAGCTTGCATGTGCTTCTATATGATGGTCGTTCCGTTCGAAACCTATTTTTACGTTTTTCCTATCTTGTTCATTTCAGCGCTTTGCTACACTTTTTAAGAATTTGAGTTTAGACGGGCTCTTGATTCAAGCCTAAGGGCTACAGCGGCTAGCCAATGGACTAGCTCAATGGGCGTTTTGTTCGTTCCGTATTTAAAAAATTTTTGAGTTTTTTTTGGTGTTTTTTTCCTTGTGTATTTTTTTCTTGTTGTGTGTCCAAATATATTGGATGGCGTCACCAAGGAGCATAGGGTCTCTCAACGCAATCAGACTAGCCTTTAGGCTCCTCAGCAAAAAAGATGCGTTGGCTTGAGGAAAAACCGGAATTGAGTTCGAAGGAGTTGAGATCGAAGTCGGGTGTTTGAGACAAAATGAGATCGAAGTTGTGTGACTGACAAGAATTGAGATCAAAATTAAGGGCGAGAAAGGAGATCAAACGTTTGGTATTTCAACTGGTAGCTGATCAGATTGGTGATTGCGTTTGAACTTGCTGGTGACCACCTAGTAAAAAAAAGATAAAACTCTTCCATATATGTACATATAGTATGCGATTTCTGCTTCAGTTTGCGGATTACGCTTGGAGTTTGCAGATTCCGCAACAGCTCATTTTAACTAAACACAAGTTTTAATATTTGATTGTGAATTCCACAAACAGTTCCGGAATCCAGAAATACTGTTGCGGATTTCCCAAATTCGCTTATTTTGGAACAATTTTGATCGGTACAGTTTTTTAGGTATTTGCTTGTGGAATCCAAAACAGTAAGGAAAATCAAAGAGATGTAGCTGTGTAGTGGATTCAGCGATAATTATGCTTTTGGCCTCTTGCGGCATCCGCTCAGAACGCAAAGATTTCACAGTTTTTGTCTTCGCAATGCAAAGCAAAAATGTTTTTGGACTTCTGATGGAAAAAGCTAGATAAGGAGTCTTTTTAATATCTATTTTTGAAACTCTACGTCATCCAAGTTGGCTCCATTTATGTTGCTTGTCTTTTTTTGATGCTGAAAATACCAAATTTTTGACTGACTGTATGAACAAACAAGTCTTGACTATTTTAACTGTTAATTTTGTACTGGGTTTTTTTCTTCTTATTGTAATGAATTATTTGCCTTGAAATCAATTTTTCTCTCTGGCATAATCGCAACTTCAGCCAGGTTTCTGATACTTAATTTTTTTTCCCATCGTTCGGTTTTTTCATAATAGGGATTCCTCAATTTTAGTTCAAATATTTAACTTCGAAAACTTGAAAATGTCAACAAAATAAAAATATTTTCTGCAAAAATTACAAACAAATCAATTTGTTCTAGAACGCTTCCAAAGCTTCAAATAACTTAACGAATGTAGCTGGAGCTCATACAATAAAAAAATATGTAGACAATTTCTTTTTTTTACGGGGTTTTTTCAAAATTTCTCTTTGCCACCAAAACCAGCTTAGAATTTTTTTTAGGGCTGCTGAGCTAAAAATAGGCGTTTGTTTCCCTAAATTCCCGAAAAAAAAATGGGCTTAAAATTCGAAACCAGCATGTCATTTTCGTTTAGTTTGTTTCTACTGACGCAAACTAAAACACATCTGGTTCTTGAAAGTTTGGCAACCGCTGAACATTTTCTTAGCTGGCTGTTATACTAGCAGGCTCGGAGCTTTGCAAGTTTTCAGGTCCTTTGCTGCATCAAAAAGGCACCGGTGGTTTTTGCATCAAATGTGGTTTTTGAACGTTGTTGTTCGAAAAAATCATAGTTCAAAAGAGTTTTAAAGTACTAGCCATCTGAACTGCCACATGACCCCAGCGCAGCTTCTGAAACGAAAAAAAATACATATTTCAATTTCAATATCAAAATTTTATTAGCTCATATTTGTTTCAAACATTAAAAAAGCTTCGAAAATTTCGTAGGTGGTTTAAAAGATAAAACTTATGATGGTTTCGCTAACCACTTTGAGACGAATTTTCTGATTTAATTTATGACATGTTTTTATCTTGGTAAATTCTATCTTACTTCGGCTCTTATAAGTCACGTTTCCTGTTCCAGTTTTGCCATTTGTCACCACCAGTCGACCATCATTTGAGAAAATGACACTCTCTCCTCCCGGAATACTAACCCACATACTAGTGCCGACTGCGAGGCCTTTTAGAGTCCTGCGCTGCCGACTCAGAGGGGACGACTGCTGCAAAATAGCCGGTAGACAATCTTTTTTTTTCAATTATTTCTCAATTTCAGAGAAAAAATATGATTTTAAGATTTTTTGATTTCAAGTTACTTTTGATACCGAAATAGAGAAGAAAAAGATACGCCAAGTAGTTGTTAATTCGGCTCGATATTCTCTATAAAAGTTATTTTTGAAACTTAATTCATTCACGTTTTTGCGCCATTTGCACTTTTTTATTAGAGAGTGTTATCTGCCTTTCATTTACACATGACTTTGAAGTGAACTTTGAAAGCAAAAAACAAACACTGAAATATTACATTAAAGAGTCAAAGATTATAAAAATTTTATCTTGAAAAAAATGCTGAAAGCATGCGACCTAAATAACTGTTTTCAACTCATCGATTGGCAATTAAAAAAGTCTATTAACTAATTGCATTCGAATAAAAAAAACTCAACAGGCGTCGGGGTTGATAGGTCTGGGAGCGAGTCGGTCTGGGAACGGATATCTGGGAACTTGGCTTGGGAGATTTTCAAAACCAAATCCACAGTTTGTCGATTAGCTGCTAGAAAAAAATGTGATTTTCCCAGCTACCGTTCAATACATATGTCACCCAAGCTTACCAAGAGTTTCAGACTAACTTTTTTTAAATAACTTTTTCGCAAATTTTTTTGGCTAAAGCACCGTGAAGTTTCCGGTGCGCCCTCTTCTTTCAAAACTAGTCATTAATGGCGCCGAAGAAGCCATCAAAAATCTTCCTGTTTTGTGAGCTAAAATAGATATTGTCAAGTAAGACCAAATTGAGGCTACCAAATTCCCGAGAAATCCAATTTACTCACCCTCCCCCCTAAAATTTTTTCCATTTAGGGGGTCATGTACATTGCGTCACAAAAAACTACGCTTGAAAACTGACCTTCCTTAGAACAGTGAGAGATCCGTTGGCGTCCAGTTGCATCTGGAGTATTTCACCTAGCCCCAGTTTGTTCACAACTATACTCCCGTTTTCCAATCTAATTGTCGGGATTTCAGATTGCAAGTCCATGTAATACCGCTCGTCGAAGGATCGCATGTTGCCTAATGGTGCTTCAACGAGACGTTCATTTAACATAACACTTCCAACCACCAAATTTAAAGATTGAGAGACAACGTTAGCATATAGTTCTGCAGGTAAAGCCGTATCTGAGAGTTTATGCGCATCGAGTTCCAGCTTCAGTGTGTAGGCGAATGCCCTTGTGAGTTGAATCTACAATTCTGTGAAAATAGATAGTTGACCACCCAGTTTCAGGGTCTGTCTCTGCCTGCCTGGTGCTAGTCACTAGAAAAAAATCATCTATAGATACGTGATGATAGTAGTAAGTTAGGAGGCGGTAGTGGGGAAGGAAAAAGCTGGGCGCGGTCGGTCTCTCTCCCCCTTATGGATTCAAACCACCCACCATCTTGAAGTTTCCGTCTTTAAAAACAAAAAAAAATGGATGCAATTTGAATTTTTCAAGCAGCTGATTCATTTTCAAAAAACTAATAAGATTTTTTTAAAACTCCCTTTTGTGATCAGGGGCGGATTTAGGGGGGGGGGGGTGGACGCCCCCCCCCCCTCAGGGATTCGACCCCCTGCCGACCCAAAGGGTCCCCCTTTGATACTTTTTCAGAAATCCATTTTTGGCCGACCGACCCTAAAATTTTTCTAAAGGCGCCTTTGGCGCCAATATGTACTAATTTTGAAGGGGGAGCTCGCGCCGAAAAAACGCGATTTTTTGGTCAATTTTTTTTCAAAAAGTGCCTAAAAACACCTTTTTGGCCTGTTTTTTCAAAAATTTGCCTGCGGCGCAGAAAAATTTGCCAAAAATGGGGACAAAACAGTGCTTTGGGAGAGCTCGAAAAATCAATTTGCTCGACCTAAACAAAAAAAGGTCGTCAAAATTTTCGATTTTTTTTTGAAAATCCGCCCTTCCCCTCGAGAAAATCCTAGATCCGCCCCTGCTTGTGAGCATTTTTGAATTGCCACTGAGAAATTGTTAAGATAGGTTCGAGTTATAATATTTCACTTAAATTTTTCTGAAGCTTATTTGAGTTAATTGACTTTGCGTGGAATTTTTTTGTAGTTTCTTAAAGACTATGGTCGGAACATTCTGTGCTACTTGCACAGTAACCGGCTATACTTGTTGTCATTTAGCTTTGCTATATGAATTGCTGGTATATTTTTTTACTTCGTGGACAATAACAACTTAGAAGAAATTAACCTTCGACGACTTCTGTTGCAGTTTTAGTAAATTCGAGTTCTATTTTTTTGTAGAATCCGAACACTTCTTCTCGTAATGGTAAGTAGCAAGCAAGTTCGTCAAATACAGCTCCAGGTCTTCGGGTAATTTCGCAACTATATACCGTTTCCTCGTTCAAATTCCACGGAAAAAATTGTTCACGGAACACATCAATTTCGCTCTCCATGTCTCCGTCTCCATAGCCAATCACAGACCAGTTGTAGAATAGACTGTTGGTAAGGTTGGAACAATTTAAGGTGAACGTGCAGTATCTATTTCTAGATGACAGATCTTCTGTCGCTTGGCAGTCTTTCTCTGGATAATTTTTGTCTGAAAAAGGTAATTTTTTTTGAACCAGACATTTTAAGCAACCTTTGAAGAGCTACGTGAGTTGAGTTGCAACCATTGCGTCTTAAACGAGATAAGTCGCTCTTTACCCTAGAAAGTTCGTCGCAACTTGTGCAAACCAAAAAAGATAACTCAAAATTTTGCGCAACTTTGGCCGAATTTCCACTAAAACAAACCAGGTTAAAGACCAGCCCAATTAGGCTGCATGACAATTTTTATAAAAACCATATTAATGTTAACGAAAAACTTTTTTTGTAAAAATTTTCAGGTGAGGGAAAAAGAAAAAGGGTCAAACTTTGTGCATCCAACCAGATTGCGGCGTGACTGTGAGCGTTTCAAAAATGTGACTTTGAATACTCGAGAAAATAGTACCCAAACTTGATTGAGTTCAAGTAGTATAAGTCAGCGACAGAGATCTACTGCATCCGATTAAAGTCTTAATGACTTAGCTCCCGGGTTGACCTCAATACACCGAAAATGCTTATCACACAATTCCATACATCAAGTTTCATGGAAAGATGATTGTCTACAATTTTCATACAATTTCGAAAAATGACTGAAAATAGATATAAACTTATTTCTGTGGCTGTTCGATTATAATTAAAACAGTCTTGTGATAAAAAAATACCGAGGTTTTCGTTTTTTGAAAAAATTCTTATCATACAATTCCCACATATGGAAATTGTATGACTGGCAATTTTTTGATGGCGACACAAAAGTAATTTTGAAGTTACCCCAATTTTTTTTTTACCGCAAACCGAATTTTGTACGCAAACAAACACATTTCAAAAAAATTTTTGCATGCAAAAATTAATTTTTCGTGTGCATAACGTAGTCCTGGATACAATAATGCTGGGTTTTTTCCTTTTCGCTATACAATTTTTTTCAAAAACGCAGAAAATTCCTATTTATTTTGTATGGCGTGTTTATGTATGCCTTGATCAAGGTCTGATAATTTAAAAGTTCAATTTTTTAAATAATCATCTTTGAAAGATTTTGCCAAATTTCAAAAGTTTGTTACTTTCTTTATAACATTTGTGAGACAATTCAGGTCGTTTCCTATGCATTGTAAATGCAAGACCGCCCTAGCTTTGGTGCTTTGAGTAAGCCAAGGTTTTTATCACTTGTGTTAGATTACAAACACAATCCAAGGTTTTCAGAAAATAAATTTAGAAACGAAAAATCAAATTTTTGGTTTATGGAATAACACCAATTATACAATTTTCATATATGGAAAAATGCTTATCAAAGAGTTTTCATACATTTTTCTGTACGTATGGAGTTGTATGAAACTGTATGACAAGAAGTTTGCCATATATGGAAATTGTATGACAAGAAGTTTTGGTCAAAGCGGGCTGGTAACTATCAAGGTCAACCAAAGCTACTTGGCCTTCAATGCCGATAAACGCAAAATTATAAATACATCAAAAACTTAGTAGTAAAAACATTTAATTTACATTACGAGGCCAAACTGTGCTCTGGATAGGCGCACAGTTTTGAGTTTGTATGTTCCTGGAGCCCAAAGACAAGTCTTTAAACATATTAAATTTGTGTCGGAACGATCGAACGAAATGAAAGAACCAAAGAAGAACAAAGGGAGCGTCCTTGTTGTGGAATCCGCTTACATTTCTCAAAAAGCACCGTTTGGTCTCGTAATGCTGGGAAAGTATAAGCTCCCCAATCAAGGGTTTCCCGATTCGCTGGTTTCCCGATCACCCCCTATTTCTTTCCTCCACGCCTTCCTCCGTTTTCATGAACATGTGGTGTTGGCCCGCACCGAATTTTTATGGGTAATAATCGATTATAATGGATTTTCGTTGACTAAAATGTTGTCTATATAATCGATTATCATGGCATATTTAGACAACGCAATCGATTTTTGATCCATTATAATCGATTATTTTTGAAAAATTTGAATACATTATGATCCATTATAATCAATTATCATCCATTTTTGTTTTCAATATAATGGAATATTTTTGGACATAAAATCCATGAAAATTGATTAAATTTGGTGAAAAATGACTCTAATTTTTGCAAATTTCTGCAAAACTCGAACGAACACGTTTATCCAGCGGCGGCCAATATGCAGTAATTTTTCAATATGTAGTAAATTTCCAAAAATTGCCCAAAAACAGCATTTTTGACCAGTTCCTCACGTACGCCCCCCCTTCCCCCCAACGTAACCCCCTCCCCCTCACGTACCCCATCCCCTCTCGTACCCCCAACCACGACGTACCCCAAATCCCCCCATACCCCCCACGTCGTACCCCTCGCGTACCCCTCCGCCTAGATTCAACCCCCCCTCCCCCACGTTACCCAAGTCCCCTCCTTCCGCGGGTTTGAACCCAAACTACCCTCTCCCACGCGTTTACCAAACCCCCACTAAACACCCCTACGGGACAGGTAACTGTAGTACGGATAAGCGTGGGGGGGAGTTGGTGTGGGATCTAAAGGCATTTTTTTTGTAATTTTCCATAAACTCGACTGAAAATAGGAAAAAAAGAAATTAAGCGAGAGAACAAAATAACTAACTTAAATTTAACCAAATTATGAAAAAATGAAAACAACACACAAAAAGATTTAAATCAATAGAATATAATCCATTATAAATGGATTAAAATGGATTATTTTTCTTTTGATAATTTTTTTTTGAAAATAATCGATTATAATTGATTATATACGGGGATTTTATTGCTTAAAAAATATATAATTTTAATCCATTTTCAATCGATTATAATCGATTATTTTTGTTATTTCATAGAGACTGACAATGAAAATCCAATATAATCGATTATTATCCATGAAAATTCAGTGCGGGGGGGGGGGGGGGGGGCTTTTCGAAATTTGTATGTCAGTCATAAAACCGTAGTTTTTGTTGGCGAGCTGACTTGTGTGAAATTAAATAGCTAAATCGCGTGGGTCTACACTTCATGTGTACTTTTGGATTAGGTACAAAGGCAAAACCCCTCCTTTCTAAAAATTTAGATTTTTTTTTTTTAAATTCTGAATCCAGGCGTTGTGTAGAGTGTAAATGGTATGTCTGTGAGTCCGTATAATCTTATCTGGAGTTCCTCATGGTAGCCTCCAAACCCCCCCCCCCCCCCCAGCAAGCCGCTATTTTGCATTTTCTGATTGGTAAATCAACAGGATTTGTGCATACTGCATACGCGTATTTAAGGTCCAATATTGAGACGAGTAGTTTTCCACTCTTTACTTAATTTGTCGCTTGGGTGACATTATCCAATAGGAGGTCAATGTGGGCATCTGGTATTTGTTCTTGCAGGCTTATTTGTTTTTTTTTTGTGTTAGTTTTTTTGAATCCCGTGCCAATTTGATTGGCTAATTTTTTGTCATCGTAATAACTGAATGATAATAAAACCGATTAACTGTTTGCCGCTAAACTTCTTCAATTGTGTAATGTGTTTTTGTGTATGATTTTTTTGAGTTTCTGTTCTGCCCTTTTTTAAACGAATGGGAGATCTTTGCCAATTTTGCTGTATTGCTTTGAATTTTTTCGAAATCTGTTATCACTAAGTGCTTTCATGATCAATCGAATCTGGTGCTAGTCCTTGGTTTTTTTAACCGATGAGTTTTTTATGGGTACAAAATAACATAACAGGCACGTGAAGGCAAATTAACATCTGGTTTGTTGATTTCTCATGCTGGAGTTGTAGGCCAGTTTTTAGAAGAACATTTCGATCGACAATCTTGGTTTGTTTCCGTCCATAACAAGTAATGGTGCCAATTGCACTATCCATCCTCCTAGGTCAAAGGGGAGTGTAAGTGTTGTGTTACCAATGGTTTGATGTATACTCCCGTGTAGCATGGTAGGTTTCTTGCTGCATCTTCTTGTGATATTTGTTTCCAGATGGTGTATGATGGCAAAACACCACCGCCACGAAAACAAAATTTTTCACATTTCTGTCTCAGTCGCCCAGGATATAGAACAATCTGACACCGCATTGAATCAGTTCTTCAAAAAATAGGAACTATAAGCTTACTGGAGTGCGTGATTTATTGGCATATAAACATATAAGTCAGCCCACGATAACAAAATCTTCCACTTTGTAGACATAGAAAACCCGGAAGCGCCTCAACATTCATTGTTCATGGAAATGGAGGAAGGAAAATAAGTGGGTAAACGGGAAACTAGGCCAATGACCTGATGGACGAGAAGAAAAATCATCATATGAGAGCTCGGATAAGAAAACGTCCAGAAAGACAAGGTGATCCCAAAAAGAAAAGAGAGGAAAAAAGGAAAAATAAGTTAAAAAAACTGAGTACCAAAACATAATTATTTTGAAGTCAGTTGGAGAGTGTTATCTAGCCAGATTAATACGTTCCCAAAAACGAATCACTTATAGTAACTGCACTACTAACTGCAAAAAAATTTAATACTTAGACTTCAGATTTTTTTTTGGTGTGATACAAAACATTTCAACCCAAACTCGCGTTGTGATAAATTAATGTTCAATTTTCTAAAGATTTTTTTCTGTTTGAAATATTGAGTTATGTACGGTTGACTGTACTCATAGATTAATTTCAGATAAGGTAAACCGTCTGTTCGTCACGCTATCTTTTTTTCGGATGGATAGATTTGTGCAACTTCTTAGTCTAATACCAATCTTAATCTTACTCATATATCTCCTAGTCTCAATAGATCTAGTGTATACTGGTTTATGCGAGTTAGTTTCCAGAAGGAGAACAACTGTATTCTAAGTTTAATTCAAATTGCTCTGGTGCTGAAACTACAAGTAGTTTCAGCACCTACAAATAAGTGTAACTGTTAGTTATGGAATATGATTGGTTAGTTAAGAATATTTTTTATAATTAGAGATTTATGTTTGTAAC